AGTTTGCTGTAAAACCTGATGGACTTGGGGACCAGCGTTGGGTCTCCAAACCTAAAATAGTGTCACATCATGTCTCATATGTTACCGTTTCCTCTTTGTGTACCTCTGTAGAAATCCCAAGAACTCGTTTACGAACAACAACTGAGCTCTAGACCAACTTTTGTCGATGATCCCAGAAGAAGAGAAGCAGACGTGATGTGTTTCACAACTTCTGCAGTAAATCAAACCCCATCGCGTCTCATCTCACTGTTTTGTGGCCTCTGCTTTCATTCTCAGGTTCCCTCACCGATGTGTCTCGTCTAAACAGACAGAACTAAACCACCAACAGCTTGCCGACGTTAAAGATTCAGCGCTCACAGATAATTACCTTGGACTCGTATCCCGTCAGGAACTTCATCTCGATGGATTTCTTCAGAACTCCGTCTCTGTCGCCCTCAGCAGCCGAACGAATTACCTGCAATCAAACAGGTCACGAGTGTCGCTGTCATCTCTTCAGTCTCTGCCTCCAAGACGGTGATTCTTTATTCAGAATTAAGCTCGCCGTGACTTCCTGGAGCGTTTTAACAAGTCCTGATTTGCTCTAATGTTTGCTACCTGCCAGTAAGTTTAGTACAAATGTGGATTTTTGTCCCTCCTAACATAAAAAAAATGTCCCATAAGCCTCTGAAACTGGATTTAAAAAGCGCATTAACCTAAAATAAATAAAAAATAAGCCACTTATTAAAGCCATAAACTGTAAAAACAGAAATAAATCATCAGATTTTCAACTTTCTGATGGTTGCTGTATTATTAGACGGTTATATTACCTATTATTTCATTAAAATCATGTAATTGTCTCGTTTAAAAATTCACAAAAATAAAACCGTTTGTACTAAAAAGATTCTGTAAAAAACAAATAATTCTGCACTCGTCTGCACAAACTCGATGTATTCGTGACTTGACTACAACCAGCAATCACTCATCAAAAATTCATGGACTTTTCGGCTGGTGTTGGATTACTTCATTAAAATCATTTAATTCTACACGTCTCATTTAAAATTTCACCAAAATGAAACCGTTTGCCTTAAACAGATTCTGTAAAAAACAAAAAATTGTCCAATCCTTTGCACAAACGTGAAGCTATCAGTGACTCAGCTGCAACTAATATTCACTTAACAAAAAATCATGGACTTTTCAGCTGAATGTGGAATGAAATTTAAAATAGAGTTTGTAAAATCTCTATAATATGTAAAGATGCATATTTTTTCCCAGTGCAGGTAAAAATGTTGTACATGTTCATTCCTTTTTCTTTTTTTTTTCAAATTTCTTGCATTATAAATGTGTCATATTGCAGTAAAAATATGACCTCACAGTGACAAAAAAGGAGTAAGAATCGTCCAGAAACTGTTGAAAATGCACAGTGACTAAAACGTTCTGGAAGTTCTGTTAAAAACATCAAACAATCACGAGTATTTCATTCATGTGGTGCTCTGTCATCTCTTCAATAATGTTCCCGTCAGCATCTAGACGTGATTTCAGTTTGTGGAAGATCATAAAACATCCAGATTTCACAGTAACAATGAACGAGAACGAGTCTTACTTCTATGTAGACGTCAGTGAAGCTTTTGTCGAAGCCTCTCGTGGCTCCAAAGTCCAACAGCGCCACCTGCAGGATCAAACATGCAATCACAACTCGTCAGCTTTACCACCAGCAGGACTGCACCGGATCAGCTCTCAGTGACAGATGAAGTAATCGAACACTCGGCTGGACTCACCCGGTGCGTCTGCGGGTCGTAGAAGAAGTTGGACCAGTTGGGGTCGGTCTGCATGTACCTGAACTCAAACAGCTCCCTGAGGCACAACATCAGGATGTTCAGGCAGATCTGGCACACAGACAAAGACTCGTTACTATTCATTATTTATCTCAATAAGTCGAGACACTGCAGGAAAAACTGAATTGGAAAGAAAACATCTAAATCACACATTTTGTTTTTCTTTAAAGGCCGTTTTTTCTCCAACTATGATCCAGAAATCCCAGCTTCAGCGGCTTTTACAGACACCAGATTTATTCCTGTCCACATCCTGAAGGTTTTCACAGACGGGTTTGTTCATATGTCATCTACAGCCTCAT